CCATGAATGTGGTTGATGATAAAAGTGTTCGTGATCTCAAGGAGTTAAACATCGACAAAAATTTACACATCTTCGACAGGCCTCCACCATTGATATCACCACCACCCCCTCCTAGTATTCCATTGACAATTGAAGAACCAATGATAGTTATGAAGAATTGTACAAGTTTGAGTCCTAATAAGGAGGATGAAAGTGTGTCAGAAAAGATTAATGTAGAACTAGTTTCTCCTACCGAAGAAAACTACCTCATAGAAAACACAGTTTATATCCAAGAGAACACACTGCAAGGTACAATAGATTTTTTTACCGGGCTACACAATGAGGAATTCTCATTTGTCTGTATATTGCAACGGTGTTGGTTCAATCGAACCTTGTACTTGATGTACAATCTTCCTAACAATTTTCAACCAAAAATTTGGGTTGAATATTTGTGTTGGGTAGAACTCAAGAGATGAACCACTTATACTTCCACCTTGAGGATAATGTGATTTTCGAAGGGTCAAGGAGTGATACGCCATTGTTTGGTGATGATCAATGCAACAAGAATAATGTATATTACCTTATATATGTAATTAGGAAAATAATTAGAATTTATGTGTAATTGATAATTAGGAGAATAATTAGTCATTCCATTATTATAATTACATTATTTTAGGAAGTGAGATAGTATATATATGGTACTCTATGTAATGTTAAAGGCATGCAGGAATCAATTATATTTAAGAGTTCTTCATTATCTTTCGTTATATTATTTTACTTTTGGAGTTACCGTAACTCGAATACGGATTAGAGCTAGAAGCCTGCTCGAAATGTTTCTTCCGTTGCGTACTAAATTCTTGTACGTAACATCCCATTGATTGGTGATGATCAATGCAGCAAGAATAATGTAATTATAATAACGGAATGACTAATTATTCTCCTAATTATCAATTACACATAAATGCTAATTATTTTCCTAATTACATATATAAGGTAATAGACATTATTCTTGCTGCATTGATCATTACCAATCAATGGCGTATCAGAAATTCACCTACAAATCACCAGAAGCCACCTTGTCATGAACAAAATGGTAGTCGAACTCCACATGCTTAGTCCTAGCATGGAAAACAGGGTTAGCAGAAACGTAAGTATCACCCAAGTTGTCACACCACAACTTGGGAGTAGACCCCGAATATAGCCCGAGCTCCTGTAATAACGAGACAATCCAAGTGACCTCCGCAGCAACATCAGCCAGTGCTTTATACTCCACCTCTGTAGAAGATCGAGCCACCGTACGCTGCTTACGGAATACCCACGAAATCAAATTGTGGCCTAAGAAGACTGCGAAGCCACTAGTCGATTTCCTATCAACAGGACAGTCATCTCAATCGGAGTAAGAAAAAGCAAGCAACTCACCAGAATCCGAGGCACACAACTGAAGGCCAAAATCCAAGGTACCACGCACATACCGTAGCACACGCTAAAGCATAATCCAATGTGAAATCGTAGGTGAGTTCATATGCTGACACAACTGATTCACCACAAACGAGAGGTCCGTCCATGTAACCGTGAGATATTGCAAAGCACCTGTGAGGCTCCTGTACTGAGTCGGACTGTCAAAAGCTTCCTCAGACCCAGAGCTAGAGTGAGAACCCGAGACCGAAGAGGCAAGCGGCTTACAATCAGACATCACCGCACGCCTTAGAGTGTCAGTCATATACCTGTGTTGCGACAGAAGTATACCACCTTAAAAAAGGAACAGTCTCTATCCCAAGGAAGAAACTGGGCACACCCAAGTCACGGATTTTAAAAACAAAAGCCAAACGTGCCATAATTGGAAAAAAATAGCTTAAAATGGCATGTTAAGTGGCTATTTTGTGATACAATTATCAGTGGGGTCCACTTCCAATTTGGGTCGGGTCAAAATGAATTTGTGTTCTTCGTAGTGAGACGAAGAGATTGATATATTGTATACTCAAAACGGATAATGGGTGAATGGGATATTGATTCTCAAAGTAGACCCATTAAGTTGGAAAAATGAAGGGAAAAAGTGAAGCTTTTATCCCACATTGAATTGTATAGTATAGAATTGCCCCACTATTTATACAAGAGCTCTTTTAAAGCTTATTGAACTGTATAGTATAGAGGTTTTATCTCGCAAATCCCAAAATCAAATAAAAAAGGCTTGACATAAGCCTAATCTCGTGTGCGCACGGATTTAAAGGTTAATGGTGTTGTTACATGGGTGTTTTAATGTCATTTTTGAATGCTATTGAATTCTGTCACCCCTATATAAGATACGGTAGAGCAGCAGAATTTTAACACACCGAAAATCATATTTTCTAGCCTCAAAACTCTCTGCTTCTACTCTCCTCTTCACCTAATTGTGTTCATCCAGTTGCTCTAGTTCGCCGGATTCCTTGTTTGGGTGCTCAAACATTGAATTGTAGCAAGTTTTATCCTGGGAAGCCTAGGCTACAACGCTCCTAGAATTGTGGGAGGTAGCAAATAAGGTTTTAAGGAAAGAGTGATCGCTCGACTCATGCTAAAACCCTACACCAAACACGAGCCTATCTTTCCTTCCCTTTTCTACAGAAAATGATAATCCTTTTTTTTGTAGGATTATTATTTGGTTTTACCAACGGTTACCCAACAGCGCAGATACCAACTTATGGTCACTCGCCATCAATAAAATATCGTCCACATAGACAAGGAGGAAAACCTGAATCCGCAAGAGTGTAATGAAATATCCGTCTTAGACGCTGCAAAGCCCACGGATAGCAGAAAATCATGCAACCGTTTGAACCAGGCCCGGGGAGCTTGCTTCAAACCATAAAGAGAACGCTGCAACGAACAAACATAGTAAGGAAATTCCAGATCAGAATAACCTGGTGGCTGCCGCATGTGAACCGTCTCATCCAAATTCCCGTTTAAGAACGCATTGTGCACGTCCAACTGACAAAGTGCCCAACCTCGAGATAGAGCAAAAGAAAGCAACAGAAGAACAGTGGTAGGCTTGACAACCGGGATGAATGTCTCAAAGAAGTCCTCATCAGCCACCTAGTTGAAGCCTTTGTCCACTAAACGTGCCTTGTAGCGTTCATTGGAACCATCAGCTTTGCGCTTAGTGCGGAACACGCACTTGCACCCCACAATGTTCATACCGGGACGTTCTGAAACCTAACGCCAAGTATGATTATGAACCAGGGCGTTAAACTCATCGTCTATAGCCGCGCGCCACTCCGGATGACAAACTGCCTGGGAATAGCACGACGGATCACACGCCACTGTGGACACCAAGGCCTATAACGGACCATCATGGGACATATGTCGAAGAACCATCCGGTGAGTGCGGTGCTGCGGTCTACCTGCACCACGGCACCGAGGAGTACGCACCCGGACCGACACCGAAATCTCGGCACCATCCGAATTGAAGTAGCATTAGCCAACTGGTCTTCAGCCCCAAAAGCCTCGACATCAATCACCTGAGGCAAGGCAGAGCACCCCACGGTTCTAATTGAGCACCAACTGTGGGATTCTGCAAGGAAGAAGATCCAGCAAAAGCGAACACACATTCATCAAAACGAACATGACGACAGATAAACAACTTCCCCGTACTACGGACTGTGTTTGTAGTATTGTATTGATAGTCAATAATGCAACGATGTACAAAGATATAATGCAGATACACATATACACACTAACTAGAAGTAGAGTTATACATGGACACAACTATTGACGACTCCCAATATCTTGCAAACATACTCATTAGACAAGAATAATTTCTGTTCTTGCAGAGCCACGAAGAAAATGCAAATGCTCTTGCATAAGTATAGCCTCAACTAACCCATTTGGAAAATAATTCTGGATGATGAACATTGACAACCTTTTTAAGGGCTAGATTTGATTGCACGTTAAGCTACATAGCTTTGGAGCAGTACTGTTAATATGACACATGTTTTGATAGTGAATGAATGTGTCATTCTCGAGTTCAAAAATATCATCAAGATAATAATGTTGAAGATTTGTAAGAACAACACTACAAGAAAAATTGCAATTCGCAACGGAAAAATTCCGTCAACACGAAATTCTGTCGCAAATCGCGTTTTGCGACGGAATTTTACATTTTCACGACGGAATCCATCCCGTAGTGTCAAGGCTTGTCGTATTTCATTTTGCGACGGAAATAATCCGTCGCGAGCGGTGGCAACGGAAAATGGTGACGAAATTGTCCGTCGCGAAGTAGGCTACGGAAGTCATTCCGTCGTGAGTCCGTTGCGATTTTAACAACGAAAATGTTTCTTTCTGTCGCCATCGCATGAAAAAAAATTTCGTCGCAAAACTCATATTCCGTTGCATATTTCAGTCGTAAAATATAACGACGGAAATAATTATTGTCGCGATTTGATCGCTAACTTTTCCGCTGCAAATTTTGTATTACGTCATAAAATTTCGTCATAAAAAAACGACGAAATAAATTGTTGTCGCAATTCCGTCGCTAACTTTTCCGTTACAAATTTCATCTTCCGTCGCACAAATTCGTAGTAAGAAAACAATGGAACAAATTTCCGTAGTAATTTCATCGCCATAATTACAATGAATATTCCATCAATAAAATTATATTTTGTCGCAATTCTACTAAATTATTGGTTTTTTTTTTTTTAATATTTTCATAATTATTTTGTTAAAATTCTAAATATTTGTATGTAAAATGTTAATATGCAAAGTAAAATACAATATAATTTGTAATATAAAAGTGATACTATTTGTAGTTCAGGAAATTAAATGTTGTACTTGATAACAAATTCATGTCTAAACAACAATATAGTAATGCATAAAAGAAAAATCATATCAAGTTGAATACGGTTGTGATGAGGGTGATGATGAAGTACCAGCTCTCCCACTCTCAAGAGCATTTAATCTTTGTTGCATAAAAACCATGGAAGCCTTCAAATTCTCAATCTCATCTTGTATCTTTGCAGAATAGAATTAGCATTGTTTGATGGTTGCGAGGTTGATGTTATATTGTCTGGTGTGTTAACTTTATTGGACCACGAATGAAGGTACCATATGAACCAAGTCCATAAACAGTTCCTTTCTTATCATGCCCGCCAACTACATCATAGTACAGTAGAAGAGATTAGAATTAGAGATTTCTTGAACTGTAATAACTTGTACTGCACTAGTTTTTCAATTGCATGATTCATAGGCTTAATTCCTCAATTACTTAATACACTAGAAGAGATTAGAAGTAGAGATTTCTTGAAATGTCAATTCACCAAAAGAGACATAAGACGCATGCATCACTCTTTTCAAGTTCAGAAAACTATCACATGCTACATATTTTACCTTTAGAGAACAGAAGGACATGCATGCAAAGATTATCAAGTCTTCGAGAAAACACAAACTCCTTCATAGCACCACCAATAAGACTTGGTTGAGTGTCACATACTTGCAGCTCAAAATCACATATGTCACCAGGTTCACAGCCAGCCTAATCTGCAAGTAGCTAGGAGAAAGAAAGAAATGATTTACAAGTCATGTTTTCAGCACATATCTTAAAACTATGGGGTACCGGTGTTTGGCAAATAACTAATCCACCAAATTTTGGGGGATTTGACCAACAAGTCAAACCACTAAATCTGGAATCCATAAGCCTTGCAAGCCTCTCAGAACAGTGCACATTATTTGAAACTATAAAATATGGGCAACAATAATAAACATGCAAAGCTCCATAGGTTATTACATACATAAGAAGGGAATGATGCATATTGGCATTAGTGTTTATCTTTTCACTAGACTTCCCATCACTTGTAGCCCCATTTTCAACTGAATCCGTAGCTGGTTTACTGAGCTCCGCCTGTGAAAATAATGTTGAATGGATTAAGAAACGAATAATTGGAATCAGGCACTAATAAATGACACAAGGAGCCTTTTGTTTCTTTTGGAATCAAGCACTAATATGGTGCCAAAATCATTATCAATCTTGATTTTTGTTAATCATTGGGGATGTAATCATTATCATATCATTACAAAAGAACCAAATATATTATAAAGTTATGGAAAAGTTGGAGAAAATTTGGAAGAATGAGTTCAACACCATACTACACAACAATAGACTGAGTATTAACAGTTCACAATTATGATGCCGAGCATTGTTACTTTATATTTATTCACATATTAATCTTTGGTCGTAGTGGTGTTCCTAGCACTAGAAATGTATTATCAGCACTGTTATCTGGATCAGACAGGAATATATATCTCTTCTCCTTTTCTGAAACATTCTCAACGTTTATGTTGGTGATAATTGGAGAAAGGGCTTTCCTGGGTGGACTTTGAAATGCAGTAGTTTTCTTAGTAGCAGGTGATGATCATACAGGGTTGACAAATTCAACATTTGCATTTTTCACCTCCCTTACCACTTGATTATCTACACAATATTCAGAATTTGTGTACATGTTATATAATACACCTGATTTGGGGAAAAATTAATCAAACTAAATAAATTTAATCATGCAGCAAAGGGCACCGGATTTACAATTATTACACTCTTTGTCTCTTTCTTCTAAAACCTCAAGCTTTGTTTCCAAAATTTTACCATTAACATGGTCTAGAGCCTGCAAATGCAAACATCCAAAAATTCTACAGCTTTTCTTTTTTAAGTGTGGAACCAGCTTATAAATGTGAAAAATTTGCACTTTGAACAAATAAAAGGACCATTAAATAAACTAGTAAATGTCAATGTATCATCACTAATGCATAGTAAAACAACAGGAGAATCTGAACTCTGAAGTGCATCTCTTAACAATCAAAGAATTTCACTAAAAAGATGCAATGCCCGTGCACATAGCAACATATAGTATTGTCTAATGCATAGTAATGAACTGAAAATATTCATTTTTCAGAATCAAGCTTGGCATTAATGTGTCAAATTGTCAATCTACCATTTCCTATGCTTTTTGGACTATCAGTTTTAGGCAAAGAAAAAGAAATAAGAAGGATACCAGTTAAAAGCATCTACTCACTAGATATCCAGTTCAAACAATTATCTAATTCATATAAATGAAAATTATATTATATTATTAAAAAAAAAAAACCTAGAAGTATAAAATTTCTTAAAAATGCTGGTTTAAACTTCAAATAAAGAATTGAAGCCAATTCATTTTCAAATATAGTTGGGAGACTTTACCCAAGAAATGGGTAAAAAAATAGAAAGATCTTAAACTTCAAATAAAGAATTGAAGAGCACATAATGCTGATATCTGATCAACCAAACGGCCATGATATTTGAAAAACCGATCGAGTTGATATATTCCTAGCAAGGAAAATTACCAGTATGTATAAGCTTATAGAATCCGCCAATTTTAAACCAGGAAGATTAACCTAACGAAAAGAATTACTAATTTTTATCTGGAATAAGGGTCAAATATGCCACTGAACTGCACACAATAATGCAATTAGGCCACTGAACCTAAAAAATCTACAATTGGGTCCCTAAACTAACCAATTTCATTCAATTTGTCCATTTCTCACGTTTCTCAAGTTGCTAATAGGTTACCCCTCCACCTAGGATGCATATGTGGCATTTAAAAAAAATTATTTTTAAATTCTTTTTTTTTTTGAACACCTTAAATTAGTTTTTTTTTTTTTAATATTTAATAAATAAAAACTAAAATAATTTTTTTTTTGAAAATAAAATCCAAGCCCTGTACGACTTAACAAATTATTTTATTTTCAAAAAAAAAAATATTTTAATTTTATTTATTAAACATTAAAAAAAAAACTGATTTAAAAATAAATTATTTTAGTTTTTATTTATTAAATATTAAAAAAACTTTTTTAAAAATAAATTATTTTTTAAAAAAATGCCACATGTGCATCCTAAGTGGAGGGGTAACTTGTTAGCAACTTGAGAAACTTGAAAAATGGACAAATTGAATGAAATTGGTTAGTTTAGGGACTCAATTGTAGGTTTTTTAAGTTCAGTGGCCTAATTGCATTCTCGTGTACAGTTCAGTGGCCTATTTGACCCTTATTCCTTTTTATCACTATTTCTCCCGTTGTTGTGGACAACTAAATTAAAGTCTGAAGAAGACACCCATCCAGTCCTCAGTCTTCATCCCTCACAACGCGCAGGCAAAGTTTCAGAAGCCGCCCATCCAAGATGTTGGATATATACATATACTACATGTCAGTACACGTTTGTAAACACAAACAATTAAATTAATAAAAGCAAAAAATACCTTGCCGGCGGGAGAAGCGCTTCAGACTAGGGCACCGTACGATAGAACAATTTGGGGAGGGGAGGTGGCGTGTGCGGTCGGCGGAGGGGCGGAGACGTGCGGTAATGGCGCGACGGTGGTTTCCAGGCAGTTAATATTTAGTAGTATTAATATTAATATTTTAAGATTTTAGTAAATTAAAATAGGATTTACCTTTTTAAATAAATAAATAAATAAATAAATAAATAAATAAATAAATAAATAAATAAATAAATAAATATATATATATATATATATATATATATATATATATAGTTTTGGATTAATGAATATAATAAATATATTTTCGATGTAATTAAAAAATTATTTATTTAATATGATCAAAATCTTCTTATATCCAAATATTCACATAAATGTAATTATTATCATTGCGAGTGTGCACAATTCGGTTAAAATTTGTTAAATAATTGAACCAAAAATTCAATTAATAAATTTTTAAAATAAATATTTTAGTTCGGTCAACGCTTAAAGATTTTTAAAATTTTTATTTATCGATACTTGGGTTATAAAGTATTGGTTAACTAAATTAACAAATCGATTAAGTGTATAGTTATTAGTGTGTGTGTGTGTGTGTATATATATATATATATATATATATATATATATATATATATATATATATATATATATATATATATATATATATATATATATATATATATATATATATATATATATATACACACACACATATATATATAGGCACGCTCTAATGCGATCGCTCGCCCAGAAGAGAAATAAGAATCATTTACAGTTGTCAACGTGTTTATATTAGCGAATCAGATGTAATTTTTACTCGAATTTTGGTGCAAGTAAATGTGTTATGAGTGCAAGTAGCTGGTACATTTTTGCATGTAAAAAGTGCAAGTAAAATCACTTACAAGTACACATATTTTTTTCACTTACAAGTGCAAGTAATTTACTTTGTTAGCATTCATGCACCTAAGTGCAACTAATTATAACGTTTGGTGCAACTAGTTATAACGTTATATCCACTTAGTATTGATGCTCAGTATAAATTTTAGTTGCATCTATATTACATTTTACTTGCACTTGTAATGCATTTTACCTGCACTTAGATGAATATTGTTATAAATAGTAATAAAAATGATGTCCTAACAATTTTTATATTAAGATAAATTAAATTTATAATTCAATATTGATTAAATAGTAAAATTAAATTAATTTTGTTTTTATTACAAAGGAAAGGGGACACCCATACAATCTATACCTACAACAAGGCTCAACATCTAGACCTCCCACATAGGGGAGCAATCCGATACCAATAGACCACAAGCCACTTGGTACTAAATTAATTTTGTTAAAAGAGAAATTTATTATGCCTCTCATAAATATGTGTCATTTGTACAAAGTACAATTTTAATTACTTGCCTCATTAATTCCCTAAAAATTTGAAAAAGTCAAATGGATAAATTGGAAAATATAAAATGGTAGTTATGTTCAATTTTAGAAAGAAACACTATTTTGGAACTAACTAAAAAAACAAAAAACTAAGATAAGTGAAATAGGATGGATGAAGTAGTTATTAAAGAATTTATGCAATTTAGATATAGCATATGAATTCATATGCAATTTGAGTTTTACATTAAATTTTGAAACTTCCCACTTATAATACCAAACATAGTGTAAAATTCAACCATTGAAAGTTATAACAAAAAAAAAAAAAATTATACGTAAAAATTAAATATTTAAGCGACGCAAACAACGATCGTCGTAAGTTTCGTCGCTAATTTCAAACGTCAAATATATCTTTGCATCAAACATCGCAATAAAATTAATTTCCATTACCGATTTCATCGTCATAGCGCGACAGACATTTAGGGCATCGCATTTTCTGTCGCCAACGTGTCAACATATTGACGACGAAATTGATTTTGTTATCTCATTCTGTACCAAAAAAAAACTTTACTTCAAAATTTATTTATTTTCGCGACGGAAAAAAATCCGTCGCAAATTCAGTCGTCAACCTCCGTCGTCAATCCCTTAGTGTAAAGATTATGTGGGAATATTTTCCAATTTGCGCCAAATATAACAACAGAATTTATTCTAGTCGTCGATTCTGTAGCTAACCCGCGATGGAACTATCGGTCGTTGCCTTTTTCCGTCACTATTGTGGTGACAGAACTTAATTCTATCGTAAAATATGTCACCAAAATGTTGGCGCCAAAATTTCCTAGGTTTTTTTTTTCACTTTGCGCCAAAATTTGCTACGGAATTGCATTCCGTCACCATTTTCATCGCAAAATCACAACGGAACACGTTTCATCGCAAAAACCGTCACGAATTGAGAACGGATTACGTTCCATCGCGATGTTTCCGTCGTGATTCGTGATTTTTCTTGTAGTGCAAATTCAACAAGTTCAAAAATAAGTGAAGCAACATTTGGAAATATGCTAGGGATCGGAAACTGATTCCACCAACAATGGCAGCATAAAGAGGTAATCTCTTGAGTGGTAAACAAGAAAATATGCAGTTTTGCAAATTGTAAGCCTTTTGCAAGGAAGGAATGCAAATTTCTTCTAACAACATTTTG